CCTGAGATGCTCAGGAGAAAGGCAGGTAATATTTTAAATAATTTTTTTTTAAAAAAACAAGCTACATAAAAAATTCATATGCTTTCTTTAGAATGTGAATAGAAAAATACAACATTTTTGTTACTTCCCAAGAGCTCTCTAAGCCTTTATGTTCTCTGTCAAACTAAGCAGTGGGGACAATAAATTGCTTTAAAAGCTGACAGTAGTAAGCAGCTAAACAGCATATTAAAAAAGGGAAACTCGTTGAACAGACAAACTGTTCAATACACACAGCTGATTATGTTAAATTCAAAACATGATACAAACCACAGTTAAGAATCAAATTCAAAGTTTATATTTCTGTATAAACAAGATGGAAGAATGTTATTTCGAGCTAGAAACATTAGACTGCCTTCAAAAGTTTAACTGGAGTAGTTGAAGAGTTCACAAAACATTTCCCCCCGCAAGCAAGCAATCCCAGCCTTCCCAAAGTATATTTGTGTGGACAAATGTATTGGCAAGCCTAGCAGTTACTGATATGGTCACCAGCCGTTTCCATTAGGGCAGCTGATAAAAAACAAAAGGATAATGGAAGCAGAAACACATAATCTAGGCCTCTAGACAGGGCTCCCTGTCACTGGGCCCTATCTATCCAACCAGCTCTTCCATTGGCGAAAAAATGGAGAAAGTAGTGCCCATTGACCACCAAAAAGGACATGCCATTTTTAACAGGAGCTCTAATAAGGAGGGGAATCAGGCAAGATTGAACAGAAATGTTGGTAGCCTCCAACCCACTGTCTCCTATAAATTGTGGTCACAAGTCCATAAGGTGGTTGTCAAGTGCACTGAGAATTTCGCTTTACTTGCTTTGGTTGCCATAGTTATTGGGGGGAGGGAATTCCTGCGGGGAGGGGAGTGAGTAAGAGAATGGGACCATTGCTTCTAGAAGCCATAACTTTCCTCGCTAGTTGCACCCTTTCCCAGAGTAAGGTGTCCTTGAGAGCTTCTCTGTACCAGCTTGAGCTGCAGATATCCAAGACATGTTGGAATGGCAACATTAGGCATGGTGTGAATGTGACGTATGCCTGGGGGAAGGAAGGGTCTTTTATTCGAATTATCTATATTAAGCATGTACCTGCCAAAAGTCTTCAGTTCTAACACAGTGATCTGGATCTTGCATACATCTCAATAAACTTATCACTGCCAGGAGAGAGTTGTTGAGTGTAACTTGACTGGGGGTCTGACAAGAACCACATGGATATCTAAAAAAGTCATTACAAAGTAACAACATGCGGAAGACACTGGAGAAACCAAGAAACATCAGCTTGGTTCTATGAACTAACATTTATCTTTACTTAATTCACTAACAGGATAATATATCTATTTCCTTCTGACAGAAACAAATGCTATTGTGTGATATTCTACAACAAAACACAGAGGAAATTTTCTCCCAGTTCCCTAAACATGGGTTTATGATCATTAGCACATATGGCCATTTATATTTAGTGCTCATGATTTTTTTTTTCCAGATTCATGTACATAACAACAATGGACCCCTGGTAAACAGAACAGGCCCTGCAATTTGTTCGCATAATGTTTATATTTTAATACATTATTTCTGCTACATGCTTCACTTGCCTCACTATTTAACATCCAAGTTTAAATAAAGAAAATGGACACGTTTCAAATTTCAGTCTTCGCAAGCAATTAAGTCCCTCAGCAACTGAAATGGCTAAAGCTATTCTACAGCATCTTCTTATCCAGCATCTTCTTATCCAGCATTTCTATTTGTTCCAGAACAACTATGCTCAGGCCTGCAGACATAGCAATTATGGCCTGTTGTGCCGATCGGCAGACAAGAACAAGCAAGCCAATGAGTTCCTGATAACCTGTAGAGTCACTTGAACTAGACAAGGGTGAGCAAGCAGTGGCAGCTCTTTCCTTGCCAGAAGCCCCAAGCAGAGTATAGATCCAACATGCCCTTGCAACAGCTATCTATCTCTCCCTGCCAGTATTAGTTTCTGAGGAATGAGAGGAGGCAGCAGATACAGACTTGGCTGCAGTTACAAGCTTTCAGTACCCTTGCGCATATCTTAAGAGGGTCTTGTGAGTACCAAACATTTGAAGCATAGTGTGAGCCATGAAATGGCAGGGGAAGAAACAAAGAGCCTGCTAGATGGCTAGCAGCAGCTGAACAAGATCTCCTTGAGTTTGGTCTCATCTGTTCATGGGTACCTGAGGCCTGGACATGCCCCAGAGGCACAAGCCCTTGGGCATAAACCAAATTTATTTACAAAATTTATACCTTGCCTTTCTGGCCTTACAAGGGCCTTGTCCTTTGGGTCTTAACCTAGAGCTGGGTGGAAGATTGGGGGGGGGGCATTGTAAGCCGCTTTGGGACCTCACTGGGGGGGGGGAAAGTAGGATATAAAAATAACACAATGTGAGCCCAGATTTTATTACCTGTGATGTACAGCCTAGCACAACCTACAATAATAATTCAAATTCATAACACAGCGTCTTGCCTTGCACAGTAAGGGTTTCACCATCTTATGTTTGCCCGACCCACCACTGTGCACTGCCCCCCAATGTTAACCACAGTACATGCTGTATAGAAATATTGATTCCTATAGACCCCTGCCTCTCCCTTGGAATGTATCTTGCTGACCCCCTGTTGTTCTGATTTCCTATGCAAGCCAGATGGCTGACCATTTGCTCAATTGCCTGCCATAAACCAAATGGCCCTGCCGAAGCATGTCAGAAACGCACGTAGGCCCAAAGATGGGTTGGGCTCTGGGGTCATTTGCTGCAGAGGGTGGTCCCCAGACCTAACCTATCCCCCTCCCATTACCATGACAACCCAAAAGTTGGGACCTCCCTGTCTACTGATGATTGGCTAATGGCCATGGCTGATCATAATGAGATTGGGGTTTAATTGTCTGAACCCATAGAGAAGAGCTCAGATTCTCTTGCTTTCTTGTTCTGTTCTGTTGTTGTCATCTGGACTGCTGTCTCTGCCATGTGGCCCGAGGCAGAACAAAGGATTCTTTGGTGCAGCTGAGCACATGGCTATATGCTTGCACAAAGATGGGACCTAATTAGACTGTATACTTGGACATCCTTGACTATGGATCCTCCTGGTAATTATGCATATCTCTAATGTCTAGTCAGGGCCAAGAGCCATAGGTTTTCTTGTTTTGAATTCTTATTATTCTGATGCAAGCCTGGGCTGAATAAATATTACTCTTGTTTATTAAAAGTGTCTGTTTGATGGGTAACTGGACTCCAAGGCTGAATTCCTTGTGCCTAGCTGGCTACACGCTACCATTGAATCTTAAGAGTGCATCTTAAGTGCTAGAGCTGGGCATTGTTGTCATGTATTGTGAACATATAGGAGTTTTTTCCTCATTCCTAGACAGGCGTGGGGGCAGAATCCTGTACACATGCCATGTGATAATGTCACTTACTGCTGAATTAGCATAAGTATGTTGCAAATGCAAAGACACCCCTCTCGAAAATAAAAAACCCTCAAGTGCTATTTCTTTCTCACTGGTGGTAAATACTTTCACATTCCATTCCTCTTCATATTAATCAGTCAGAAAAGGTTTAAAAGGATAGATCATCCTGTAGATCTGCCATCTTTCTAATGTTGTTGTTTTAATTATTAAACTGTATCTTGTGTCAGGCTTGCTGTAACCAAGGAGCAGCAAAATTTGCTCCCATAAGGGAGAAAGAAGTACAGAGTCTTGAACTGTCCAACCTAGTGAACAATTAATGGTGTTTCGGGGCTTTCAGTGATGGTCTCCAGTAACCTCTCTGGCTTAGAAACCCTAGATCCACTTTGCTGAAAGGTGAGTCACTAATCAGTGAAGCATAAGAGGTGATAGGAGAGTAAAGCATCCCTATACAACTATTACTTGCAACTATTCCTTTGCTATTTCCAAGGAAGGACAGTGTCACAGTTCAACAGCAGAAGAGAAAGAGAGAAATATTTGACTATTAACCCATGCATGAATAAACTTAATTAAGGAGTACCCAATGTTTTCAACTTGAAACTACTTAAGACTTTAGAAAGGCAACACATTTAAACTACTGCTATGCAAATCAGGATGTAAACAGAACACAGTAGTTTCTTTGGCTCCAAAGTTTCATTAAAAAACGACCTATAGATCAGACAACAAAATGTAGGTTGCACATGTTAGGCTGACATAGAACACAGGACAGGCAGGGCCATACTTTTCCTTGAGACAAGAAATTAAGGATGGTAGATGAGAAGTTTGTACTTCTCCTAGCAACTATGTGCCATCCCCATAGAGATTCTGAGAACTCTGGCCTTAAATTCAAAACACAAGAAAAACTAGGAAATATCCAGTTTAGCTTGATGTAATACGCTGATTCTGTTCATGTCAATTAGGCTGTACATGTGAAATTATGTGTGTGTATTACACGAAATACGAAAACCCTAATTATGGCACAAATACTTACAGAGCAACTTGACTGTTATTTTGCACAGACATTCACTGAAGCTGCACTTTATGTGGTAGTCAAATTTAATGAACTTGGAACTTTTTAAGAATACCAATTAACTCCAGGGTCCAGGCTGTTACCAGCTTTGCCAAACACAGACATCTATTGTTACTGCTGTCTCATTTAGCAGGCTTTAAAAGAAATGCAAGGGCAAGACCCAGCAATGTAACAAGGCAGAATAACACCACACTCACTTGAGAAAACCTGAAAGCAAGTTCACAAACTAAACCCAACAGGCCTCTCACGCTAAAAGTGATGTGCCACTCTGACACTTAATTTTGCTCGCTGTGCGCATATACATTGTCCTGAAATTCCAGACTGCTAGACACAACACGTAATAACCTATCACAGAATCTGCACAACCACTCTCCTCAAAAGAGCTCAATTTGCAGTGTTTTTAATAGCTGTTTCCCTTTCAAGTCACAAATCAAATTGAAACACTCCAGAACACACACACACACACAAATTGAACACACTCCAGAACACACACTTACCATTCTGACTGTGTTCCGTTGGCTCTGACACTTTCCTCACCGGTACGATGACTGCATCCCCGGGCACCCGGGGACTCTCCACATACTTGGGCTTCCTGACTGGACCTGAAATGGGAAAGATCTCTAATATTTTTCCAGGTGGAAGGCAAGTTTCAGAATACACACGGAGGACCAGAACACACACTACTTGATGCAGACAGTACACCACTGTGAGTGCTACTGTAAAGACACCAAACTCTCTTGTACTTCTACTCTTGCAATCTGTTGTCGGGCGGGGGGGGGGGGGGGGAGGCAGTAACAGAAAGGTCTAGTCAGGCTCACTTTTTGGAATGTAAACTCTGGGCAGAACAAAAGCAGCTTGCTTGCCGCGATGCTCCTAAAGCAGCCTCCAGCATATGTAGAGAAGGTGACTTTGACATGTTCAAAAGCCACACAGCTCTGAGGTGGCCTCTCTAGGCAGAACCTTTTGTTTTCCTCCTCAATTTGGAGATAACCCTGTTTACTAGTATAATCTTTGAAGCCGCGAGGGCAAGGATTACAAAGGAGACAGCTTGAAACATTTAACACTCTAAATACTTCAGTCCTTTATATTACTGGATGTACTGTATACGTGCCCAAGCAAATCACACACAATGCGATGTAGGAGAAAGACAGAAAAGGAGAAAGACGTTCTGGAGGCTTTCTCTATAAATTTTCTTTCTCATTTCCTCTTCTTAGCATTTTTGCCAATGAAATAAAAAACATTTAGGTATTTTATAATAATCTCTTTCCATTTCTGTGTGTGTGTGGTGGTGGAGGATGCTTCATCACATGTAAGCAATTTGATACTTTCACTCAACATATTTAAATTACTTGTGGTAGCGTGCATTACCAAATGCAGCAACAATCACTGGAAATATGAAATGCATAATAGAATTTGTAGTCACTGCAATAACACCACAATGAGACCAACAGTGCCATCTAAGGGTCCTTTAGGGAGAAACTCCAAATAGCATGGAAATTGCTTACATGTGAACAAGTCAGTAGTACTGCCCTATTAGGCCAGTGGTGCTAACTGTCCTAACCTTCTGTACTACCAGAACCAGGTACTCCTAAGCACCTAAGCAGTAAGGCACCAATCAACATGCAATGGCAATAAGGTCCTCAGAGAACACAGTTCAACTAATTTTCACACAATGCACATAAGCATACCTTCCAAAGCCTTCCTAAACATGATTTCATATGCCCAGCACTTAGAAGGCTTGCAAGCTCAGTCCACATAGATAGAAGCCCCCAAGGAAAAGGCTTTCATTCCCCAGGGGCATCAATGGTTTGATATAACAAAAGAGGGGTTTTTTTAATGTGGTCTCTATATCATGGGAACAAGTATTTTGCAAGGAAAATAGACGAGACAGAAGAACAAAGATGTGCACTGCAGTAATAAACTCATAGAAGGCAATACTGTGATCTGCATAGGATCTGAGTTGAAAAGGACAAAAGAATGAAAAATAGGACTTGTGGATTCAAGTTTAATGCCAGAAGATACACATATATATATTCTCTTGGGCAAAAACGATCTTCTGGCAAAAATAAGGACTGCTTCTTCCCATACCATCTAGCCCACCAGTTACCAATTTCCTCGCAAGTCCTGGTCTCTTGTGTCCAACCTAAGGCAAGGCAGGTGGCAACCAGATGCAGGGATTTTTCAGTGGTGACCCCTTGGCTTGAGCAATGCCCTTCATCTTGAGGCTTGCTTAGCACCTATTTAGGCACCAGGCTAAAACATTTATTTTTACCCACGTTTTTAATTCAGGGGTTTGCTCTTTCTACAGTCTCGCTTCTAGCCTGAACTGCTTTATGAAACTTGTTTTAAACTTCTAAATATTTTCTGTAGTTATTATACTCTGTCTGGGTTTTTAATGGTTTGTTAATAATGAGTTGTGCTGTTGTAGGTTTTTATTATTTTTTTAAGCCAGCTTGTGCACAGTTCTAAATAATTTTAGATAAGACAAAAAGAGGGGATCAAGGACAAGAATTAAAGCCTGCCACACCAACTTACTACATAAGCACTGGGACAAGGGAAAAAATTGTTAAAGTCTCCTGGGGCCTATATCCGTTCACACCCCCAGCTTCCTCCATGCATAACCACACTCAAGGATCTCTTTGTGAGATTTGTGTTTTAATAACGTATTTTGTTCCCTATCAGTGCAGACATCTGAGGTAAGTACCAAAATATGGAGAAGTTCCCTATCTGCTAACCATCATAAGAACACAGACAGCAGAATAACTGCAGCTTTTAATTATTTCTATTTGGAGTGGAAATAACTGGAATCACATCCTTCGGGGGGGGGGGGGGGAGAAGCAGCCTGCTCAGGCTTTCTGTTGACTCAAATAGTATTTTATTATTTGGTTCTTTAATCTTACACATCGTCTTTCATAGGAATCACATTACACATGAACACATTAAGCTGTTTTATACTGACAGAGACCACAGATCAATCAGGGTCTCAGATTGGCAGTGGATTTCCAGGGTCTCAGGTAGGGGTCTTTCACAGCACGTCCTACTTGATCTTTTACCTGGAGATGCCAGGGACTGGATCTGAAACCTTTTGCATGCAAAGCAGATGCTCTACCACCAAGCCTTGGCCTCTTCCCAACACAATCAAGCAACTGCATTGGATCAAGCTGTAAATAAGCGCAGGATTTAGACTAAATATTATGTCTTTCCCACCACACCCCAATACAGTCCAAATGCTCCCCTTATGCTGATGGTGTCCTGCTGATATAGTTTATTGCCAATATAAAAGTAGTGCAACACTGGTGAAGATGTACTATGCCAGTGGTGGCGAACCTATGGCACGGGTGCCAGAGGTGGCACTCAGAGCCCTCTCTGTGGGCATGCGTGCCATCGCCCCAGCCAGGCCCAGACCATCATTAAAGTGTTCAATTCTCTGCCAAATAATTTTAAGTAAATGAAAGCATTTGGGATTGCTTTCCTTACTTTGTTTGGATCATCTTAAGTTAATGTATGAGTTGTTTTTTCTAAAGTAAAACCTCAGTATTCAGGTTAAATTGCCGAGTTGGCACTTTGCGATAAATAAGTGGGTTTGGGGTCGCAGTTTGGGCACTCGGTCTCTAAAAGGTTCACCATCACTGTACTATGCTGTGTTGCTTTGCATTCTACCACTGCAATAGGGTTTAGTAGGAACTCTACTCTATACCTCAGTTGTACCCCACTGGAATGAGAAAGCCCACTCTCCCATCCCTGATTCTGATTCTTGGAAGGAACTCCCACCCTCTTCCTTCAACCATCAGCAACTGTAACAACTAAAGAGCTAGGAGTATGGCGTGTTACACATGACCTTTTACAGACAGTTTTGGCTATGTTAAGTCTGAATGGTCACCGTATTGGGGAAGGTATCTTTATTTACAAATACATAACCAAAAATTGTACAATGATACACTAAAAAAGAATGTTGTACAAAAACAGAACAAAACACCACAGAAGAGACTTTCTACTTTTCCAGTTGTAAAAGAGGAGTTGCCTCTCCTTACTCCTAGGAATTGGATTTACACTCAATGAACTGCATTGAGATACACTGTCCCTTAACTCCTACTAATCTAGAATTTTATTAGAAGTATTTAATATTCATAGTACATTCATACACTCACCCCCACCCAAAAAAACCCACACATAAAACATGAAAGACAAGCTGGAATTAACCAAAGAGGATTTAAAAATTAAATAATCCATAATCCCCCTGTACTCTGAATTCATATTATACTGAACACTGTGTTCTTACATTCTTGTCTTTAGGTTATTAAACATTTTTTCTTAAAAGTACATGGAGGTTTTATGGTCGCGCTTTTCTACTCTGGAACTCAAATGTCACTCCCGAGGTGTAAAATAAAACAGCTGTTAATTTATCGGCCAACCCGACAGGTAATAAAATTATTATTAAAAATGCAAGCCCTCCCTCCCTTCTTATACTAAACACTAACTAATCTAAAGATGACAAGCCTTTCTTACTTCATTATATAATGGAAAGGTCCCATCCCCCCAATTTAACATTCACTACTCATTATTGCTAGTACCAGTCTTCTTTGATCTGTATATTTCTAGAAGCAGCATAAAGCAGGGGAAAACTATTAATCCTTGAGCACTCCATGGATTGGTATACTATTCTCTAAGCATGTTATTAATTTTGGAATCCCACACAAGAATGCAAGTGCCTTTCATATTACATGACACTGTAATGTCACAGTGTGGTACAAGGCCAAACTACCGGCATAGTACAGCCTCAGTTCAGACCTGCATATCTTGTTACTTACTGTACCAAACATAGGCAAGCAATCATCCATATATGAAAGCCCAACAGTAACTGAGTAAACCTGGTTTTCTGCCGCATGCCTGGTACTGCAATGGCAAGCACTTGGCAAATGTAGAGAGGTAAAAATGGACTTTTCTAGTGGTTTTTTAAAATGAAATCTTGGTGTGTGTGTTTTTTTACATATATCACATTTAACCTGAAACACAACTTTTGAAATTAAGAAGTATAAATGCCACCATTTCTTACAAATACGGACAGTGTTGTAACTGGAACTAAGAGTTGCTGAAGTCCATAAGGTTCCCAACTGGAAAAACCAGAACAAGACAGAAGTTGCATATAGAAGCTATCAACAGTGAATTACCTCGCAAAGGGCTTACAAACACTATATTCAGTATCAATGTGTAGAAATTCATGTTTTAGAGAAAAACTTCTGATGATTTTTTCCTTCAGTTATGCTATGATAATGTTGAACCTGAATACTGAACTTCTCAATAATAGGTTGCACAACTACCGGACACAATCAGACTGTACTTATAGATATTTGCATGATCCCTCACTGAATTCTCCCAACTAGATAGAGCTGAAAGACCTGTAATTTGATCACATGCAAGGAGGGCAATTTTGAGTTGGATCACTTAACCCTTTGACTCCATGCCATTTTCCAGACCTCAAACACACCCACCTACCATCTGGATGAAAAAATATGTACGATTTATACCGCTCCCCCAGCAGTACAAACTGCAGCTCCAGGGAAGCATTTGAGATTAAAGAAAAGGCCCAGAGAAAAAGGTTAAA